TTAGTAGACCTGATTGTAATCGGCTTTTGTTTGCTGGAAGTGGCAACTGAGGACGAGGCATTTGGTTCAATCCTTAGAAGAAATCTGACTGGTTCTGAAACCACCTGGACGCACTGAAAGGGAATTTGAACGACTGCTCTAGCTGACCGGATAGCTTTTTGTTACTCTAGACTGAAGGTGAGGGCACGATGGCTCTCGAGTGTACTTTTTTTCAGGAACTCTCTTTCCTTTTTGGGTTCCGACTCGTGCGCGGGTAAAAGCTAACACGAGCATGGAGGCGTTCTGACTCAGCGGCCATTACGACTGTAACGTCGGCGAGACATTCGTCGGAGTTTTCATCCAACATCAGTACGCCTTTAGTCATGGAATATTTGCGCAACAGTCTGGTTTCGGGCTTACTTTGCATAAATGCCTACTTATTTCATAGCAGTAAGCGTGTTTTTCTCACCATAAAGCTACAACACGTCCATCCACCTTGCACTTCCCACACGGATTTCTTAAACGTCCTGCGGTTTATTTTGATTTTATTACTTTAAATTTAGTTTACTTAGCTTAGCTTGTTTTGTTTTAATTTAGTTTTGGTTTTTGATTACTTTAGCTTACTTTTAATTTGATTTTTTAATTTGATTAGTTTGAGTTTAGTTTTATTTTACTTTATCTTAGTTTGGTTAGTTTAGTGTTCTTTACTTTTTAGTTTATTTTACTTCGTAGTTTATCATTTAGTTTTAATAGTTTTATTTCATTTTAGTTTAATTCTTTGTGCATTTGCCCAGTCCTTTTTTTCTATTGGTTGTATTTTTCATTTTGCGATTTTTTGCTGTCAATCATTAGGTTATTTACATAACTTTGTGCTTTTATACGCTCCGCTTTTTCATTTATTTTTTCATTTCCCGATATGCCCCACCTATTTAATTCCAATCGCCGTCGGTCGCGTTTTACAGAATGCCTGGGTCTTCGCTTGCTGTAGTGAGCCCGAAACCAGACTCTTGCCAATATTGGCATCCATCTAAAGGATACGGGATGTCAAAAGAACAGCTTGCCTGTCGGCTTAATTACCGCGCTTTTATACGAACTACCAAATCAGCATCGTTTTTGTGTGCAAAAAACAAGCTTCTGTTTTTTTTCCCACGAATCGCGTGCTCCTTTATCTCTCTTGCCTCATCTGATTTACGTGGACTGCAAAAATCAACTTGACGGCCGTTATTTTGTCCACGGTTTGTCGTCTATTGAAAATAAACAAACACAATGACGCGCGAGTATGCTCGGGAAGGGGACAGGAAATTGATTAAGTATGGGGAAGGTTGATTTCCATTTAAAACTGCAAAATTTTCCTTGCTAGACGAACTTGGCCACCTATAGGGCAACAGGAAAAAAAAACTTCCCCTGCGACGTGTTTAGTTAGTAAACGAAGTGCAGAGGTTCGAGTCTATCCGAACCGATCATTTGGATTTCGGCTACCACGCGTCATCAGCTTGGCCACCTATCGTTTATGTTAGGTAAATGATCTACGAACTTGATTTGACATTCATGCCCTCATTTCCTATGCTAGAAACTAAACAGAGAACGTCGGAAGCGCCGACCAGGCAGCCGAACCTCCCATAGTTGCGTCATGCAACAGAAACATAGAAGAAACACATTTGTGAGCTATCGCCTAGTACGTTGGGAACACTGCCATCCTATCATAATTAATCTTC